CTGTTTTGTTAAACTTATATTAAAGTTTTTCTTCATTACCGATTCAAGCCGTCTCCAGCCATTATTAGGCTCAAAGTGGGTTCATCGTCATCGAATTTGATTTTGCTCTTGTTTTTTTATTTTTATTGGTAACTTATTTAGTCGAAAGGATGACTTTAAGAACTGCCATGAAAGTATCACTAATACATAAGGATTTATGATTTGTTTGTTTGTAATTAAACACAAAGCAACACAATGGGCTATCTGTGATCTGCCCACCACAAGGATTTATGATTAAAATAAAATTTTGTTAAATTTTATGTTTGGACTCAATTTAATTTAAGAATGTAAAGACATCTTGATTTTGTCACCAGAGTTTGTGTGAATTGTTTAAAATAAATATACATATATACGGGATAATCTATACCTTTGGGCTACTGTTCTAAGAAAATACTTGGGGAAAACCAATTTGGGTAATTTTGGGTTCTGAAGAAAAAAAAACTTTATAAATTATATTCTGTATTTTTATTATATCTTCTTTACTTTAGTAAAAAAAATGATAAAATAATACTCAATGTGTGCTTTTTATTTATATTTCATCCACAGAACTTCTTCTCCAAAAGATCTTTCAAAAACAACCCATTAAAAAGAACCAAAAGTGTTACCAAACTTGAAAGGAAACGATGCACAATGGATGGTGACAGGTCTGTTTCTACCTTTTTTTTTAATATTCATAAAAAGTTTTTAAGACCCACGTTCAGTTTAAACTTGGGCATGAACATAGATACTAATTTTCTTGATCTCGCATCATCTCACATTTTCTAAGTGTTTGAAAAGTCTCAAAGATTAAAACTCTGAAAGTCTAAGACAATTTTTATTACAACAAGTTGAATAATAACATTGTATACTAGTTTATTTTCAAATGCATACATTTCAATAAAAGTATTCTTTATTCCTACAAAATAATTTTTTTTTGTATATGACCCTCTATGTAGAATAATAGGTACGTTTTGTATAATTCCAGTGTACCACCCTCTCGGCTTCGTACCTCCCGTTCTCACGAATCTTTGTTGCTGACTAGTCCAAGTGTTTTGCAAAGGCTGGATATATCTCAAGGTGATGTGCAGGTGATGTCACTGCATGGTAGTCTTCTAGGTCAAAATTATTGCTTCCAGCTGACTTCTAGTGGTGGGACCACGTACTATTCATGTCGCACTGCAGAGGAGAGAGATAAATGGGTTACCAGGTGATGAAAGTTTTACCTTTTATATTTGTTTTTAAATCAAGTTTCTACAATGTATTAGTGAAAATAGTTACAAAATACTTCAATAAGTTGCGATTATTTTAGTACTTTTTTGGACAAAAAAAATAGAAATATTTAGAAATAACTAACTATAGTTGCTTGATCATACTACATCATAAATGCCAGAATCATTGAAGATATGAAATTATCAATAAAAAGCAACAGAATATATATATCTCATGCTGGACATAGTAATCCATATTCAGGACTATACGAAAAGAGTATTTCTCTATTTTACATAAAAAGGTGTTTAAATCAAGATGAATAACACTACATGTAAAAAAAAAATGAAAGGTTTTCCTATTCACTATTGGAAAGCTAGAAAGTATGTTTTATTTCTTTCAGTTTACGACAGTCCATTCATCCTCACCAAGACAACATTAGGCGAATAGAAAATTCCTTAAAAGTATGGATACTAGAAGCAAAAGGAATCTCTTCAAAAAAAAAGTATGTCAATAATATTTAATCAAGAAATTTTAAGAAAGTGAATATCAACATGGCATAAAAAAATTAAATGATGAAGAGAAGCTAATGCAAAAATTATTAATTTACTCCAACTTGTTTTCTTTTTTCTACCAGAGAAGCTACCATACTTCAGGATCGGAGATAATTTCTGTGTGTCTAAATCTACACAACAATTAAAATACAAAATCTGATATCATTTCTCTGTCTGCATCTACACAACAATTAAAGTACAAATTCTGATATCATTTCTGTGTGTCTACATCTTCACAACAATTAGAATACAAAATCTGATATCATTTCTGTGTATCTGCACCTGCACAACAATTAAAATACAAAATCTGATATCATTTCTCTGTCTGCATCTACACAACAATTAAAGTACAAAATCTGATATCATTTCTGTGTGTCTACATCTTCACAACAATTAGAATACAAAATCTGATATCATTTCTGTGTGTCTGCACTTGCACAACAATACCAGACCATTTTTCTCTGTTAATACTTGTACATTAATAACACAAACTGTCTTTGTGACTGCATCTCGAATTCAAGAGCACTATAAGACCAGAAATAATCATTGTAGTCAATAGGTATATAACAAGTTCTTAATGAATCAGTGTACACTCTTACAATTAATGATTTATTCATACACAGAAAACAGATAATGGCTACTATAATAATAATACTTATGTTGCTAATATATTGTACAAGCAATAAACAAATAGCAAACTGTAATTAGACTCTGCAGAACTTCTAGTAAGAGAATAAAAAACTATAATTCGACTCCAAAGATCTCTAACTAAGAAAATATCAAACCACAGTTAGACTCCACATAACTTCGAGTGAGAAAATGTTAATACATAATTAGACATCACATAACTTCAACTAAGAAAATATCAAACCACAGTTAGACTCCACATAACTTCAAGTGAGAAAATGTTAATCCGTAATTAGACATCACATAACTTCAACTAAGAAAATATCAAACCACAGTTAGACTCCACATAACTTCAAGTGAGAAAATGTTAATCCGTAATTAGACATCACATAACTTCAACTAAGAAAATATCAAACCACAGTTAGACTCCACATAACTTTAAGTGAGAAAATGTTAATACATAATTAGACATCACATAATTTCAAGTAAGAAAATATCAAACCACAGTTAGACTCCACATAACTTCAAGTGAGAAAATGTTAATCCGTAATTGGACATCACATAACTTCAACTAAGAAAATATCAAACCACAGTTAGACTCCACATAACTTCAAGTGAGAAAATGTTAATACATAATTAGACATCACATAATTTCAAGTAAGAAAATATCAAACCACAGTTAGACTCCACAGTTCTTTGAGTAATTAAAAAAAAACATTAGCTGTTTTAAGACTAAATTACTTACTTTAAGATAACACTAAAATGCAGATCGTGTTCAAGTATTTCTGCCAGAGAAATCATTGTTTGCTTGTGGTACATTGAAGAATCGTAATTGTTACATCAATAAAAAATAACTCTATTTAGGGTTTACGTTATTTGACATTTCTTTACTTTCTTGGAATTTATTTAACGTAGAATATACAAAACTTAATTTTTTTTGGAAAAAATAAACACTTTTATGAATATTCACAGTAGTGTTTTTTTTTGCTAATAAATTCGTATTACAAGATTATAATATTGAAAATGAATATACCAACTATGTATATTTTAACTTAACCATATTTAATTGTATAATGTGATCTAAGAAAAGGTTTAAAAAATGAAGCTTTAAATGTCAGGTCATGGGTAATAGAAAAAAATATTTTTCAGGAATTAAATTACACCACAGAAAACCCAATATTATGTGAAATTATTCATCCAAATTTCATTTTCAGAAAGTTATATTTTTCAAGAAAATCAGATATTTCAAACAATGTGTGAAAATAAATTACCATTTTTGATGCTTCTCATAATTTTAAACTTCAATTTTATTCGTAGTTGTGGTCAAACAAAACTTCGTATGCAAATTTAACCAATATTTGTTTACTTTAAATCTCGGAATAAAAATTTTTTTAATAATTTATCAATCATCAAGTTTTATTGCATGAATTCCATGCCTCAATTCTCTTGTTTTATTGGACAGGTACTTCGGCAATTTATGTTTAGACAAAACATTGTTTGCAGTTGTAACCTGTATTTGTTTACTTTGAATCTCAGCATAATAAGATATTTTATAATTTATTGTTCCTTAAATTTATCAAATTACTTCCATACCTCAGTCCTTATGTTTTATTGGACAGGTACTTCTGCGAACTATGTTTAGACAAAACTTTGTATGCAAGGACAACTTCTAGACAGAAAGCTGATATCTGTTTCTGGGGAGAACATTTTGAGTTTAAGTAAGCATTATATTTGAATTTCAAATAGTATTGAATTAATATTTTTTACATTTACAGATGGTTATAGTTCTAAAGGTAATGTTTCACACAGAAGCCAGTTCCCAGCCTAATTAACTTTTATTTCTACTTATTTCAAATGTTAAAATTTTCTAATATGAAATCTTATATTTGTTGTTTATTCTACTTTGGCTTAATAATTTTGTTTGTATGTTGTTGTTTTTTTTTTTCATTCCTAAACAATCATATTAGTGAAAAATTTGTCAAATACTTCTAAGCCTTTTCTGTTGAACCTTTTGCCTGTGTACTTATACAAAGTATTTAAGTATATATATATATATATATATAAGATTGTTAAAAACAGATTGTTAAAGATTGTTTTTAATTTTCAGCAATTTGCCACAAATAGAAACTATTACAGTCAACCTGTACAGAGAAGCTGACAAGAAAAAAAGACGAGATAAAAACGTTTTGCTAGGTGAAGAAAGAAATTTTTTTTAAATTAATGTAAAATAGGTCCCTAATTTTTCCTAATGCGATTATTTTTTGTAGTTTTCTTCTTATTAATGATGTTTACAATGGTAAAGGAAGTGGCACATACAATCTTAAGTGATTTAAGAAATATTTGTAGCTTCAGAAAATATTAACTTAATTAATAGATATCTTTTATCCATTGTACAGTTTGTATATTGTATTTGCATAATCTCTAGAACCTCTGAAATGTTTATCGACACTTTTTTCAGTAGCTGTTTATATCTGGTTTTGAAATATTACTAAATCTACAAAATAGGATGAATTGAATAGTAATAATAAAGAAATGCCGTAAACATGTTTTGGAATCCAAAGTTAAAACAACTCATGGTAAATATGAACTAATTTTGGCTTTCTGTCTTCAAAAGCATTACAAATTTAAACAGAAAATGAAATTTTGCTGATTAATAAGTTTAAACAAATTTAAACTCTGGAGTGAAAATATTGTTACGTCTCCGTTTGTTGATAGATTTTCCGTAACTTCGTTCCAACGAAACTTAAGCGACACAAGTTCTTTCTTAATAAAACTGGTTTATTCTTTCCGGATATAACTTTACCGATACACTTAATCTCAATATTCGTGCTAAAACAAACGCTAATCAACAATACTTCTGACTGCAAATCAGTTACTCACTATCTACACACATATTACCATCCCGTGTCACGTTGTCCCCTCTTATATATATCCGCCTACCCTATATCTAGTAAGAACTAGAACATTCGCCAAAGTACAGGATAATTCAAGAAAGGAGAGAGCGTGAGAATCACATGATCTCGATGACGCAACAATATTAATTCCTTTTTGGTCACTTTAGGGGACTTTCACAACTGTCACAATTTATCATCAAGGTACTGAAAGGATGAATGATAATATTTTATGACTACAACACCGAGAGGACACAAATATATTGATCATTACAAATACAATATATCATTTAAATGTGACAATCTGTGGGTCGCGGGTTCGAATCCCCATCCCACCAAATATGGGGGCATTATAATGTGACGGTCGAT